CCCTCTCCCCTCGCGCCCCCCGAGTAACAACATTTTTCCAATATCAACCACCCACCAGCAGTGATTTTATGGCTACCGTTATCGAAAATCGTCCAGAAATCGTACCGGAAGAGATATCACCCCCTCCCCTTCCCTTTCCTCCCTCCCCTCCCCTTTCCCTTCCCTCCTTCCCAGCCTCCACCCTCTTCCCCCAAAATGCTACAGTCTTTGGCTCACCGTCGTTCCACGGTCGTAATGGAGCTGATTTTCTCACAGGCAAATTCTAGCCAGACGCTCAAGCACAACAAAATCTGGCAACTATTATAATACTAAATCCAAAAATAAAGTAATATTCAAAAAATAAAATGAAAAAAATATTGGTTATGTTTATTTTTCCCCATTTTTTTGGATTTCTTCTTTTGTATTTGAATCCGAAAGCCGACTTTTATTGTTTGTTGATAAATAGCGCTACTTTCACGCTGAATGTCAAGGACAACCAACATCTCTATGGCTTCGTCACTCGTTTCGACAGCAAATTCGTGCTGGATCAGAGGGGAGAGGAAGGGAGGAAAGGGGAGGGGGGTCGAGATCGAATCCACCATCATCTTGCTTCCAAGCAACCAACGAAAGAAGGACCTGGCGACAAACTTGTCAAGGGGGAGGGAGGTTACCGTTCGCTAGTTTCGACTGCCTCCTTTTCGAGAGTCAACACGAAAGGAGTTCTGATTTTTTAAAAAATCCAAAAAAAGCACATACGCCTTGCATGATAATACAAAAAGATCATTTTTGGCATATTTTAGGGGCAGTTTAACCAAAACAGATACAATTCTCGGAAAAACATCAATGCACAAACCAATTCTCTCTTTTCAGTTATTTCCTCAGCACCAAAACTGGTCTCTGGTAAAGGCTCTTCCGCTTCCTCAGCTTCCACTTTAACTTCAACACGAAGCAGCGGTAGCTGAAACATAAAAACTTTATGACATACTCTTACTTCAATATAAGCGACTCCTTATTTTCTCTGATTTTCCTTTCTTTCGCATATCTGTCTTGCAAATTAGTCACATGACTGTTCAGAACATGGTGGGTAGAAGGCTGTACTGATGATTCCCGCTTTCCCATCCGCATACATTGCTCGGTCTGTGTTTACAGCTAAGGGATGAAACATAGACTAACTACATCGTAAAATCTCCTCCAGCACATAACATGACACTTAAGATCAATCCTTCTATTCTACTATTTCAAGTACAATCGAGGAGTGAAAGATCTAGGAAAATGTATTATGAATGAAAAGTGGACGTACCTCTTCAGAAGTTCCTGGCGCAACGGTTTCACTTGCAGGAGTGGCAAGAGTGCTGGCAGCAGGAGATTGACGTGGCTCTTCAGTCGTTGTAGGAGTTGAAATAGCAGCAGTTGCAGTTGATGAAATTCGTCCATGTTCGCCCTCTTTAATTATGAACAATGAAAAAATTTGAGCGGCTAAATAAGGGAAAAACGTAATTAATGCATTTTTGAAGTGTGCCAGAAACCACATAATTCAATCTCTATTAAATATTCGCTGCAGATGCTAGGAAATATGAGTTGCAGTCCGAGGGAAAAACTCGAAAAAATACGACTCATGAGTTGAAAACAAAAAATACTGAATGTTGAGTGTAAGAACATCCCCTCAAAATTTCAGTCTTCTAGCTTTTCAGGTTCTCGAGTTAGCAACTTGTCCGAAAAAAACTTTCACGAGCTCGTGCGCGGAAATCACGCATACCCGGGGGTAAGCGAAAAAATCAAAGACACTCTTTTGAAGATTAAAATGTACTGAGCCTGTGGTGGCCAGTAAAGAAGCGACCAAATCTGCAAAACGCTTAAAAAAAAGCCGCTTACCGCGCCTTGGTGATGAAGCATTGCTTGCAGCAGAAGGTGAGCCAATTGAGAGTGTCCGCTGTCTGGTGTAATGTACCGGGGGTTGCTGCTGCTGCTGCTTTTCAGCTTCATCCGCTCCCGCTTCCAACGAGGTACTTTTGCGTGGTGAGCTTGCAGCGCTCCGTACTTTTTTGGGGCTTCCTTTTGCGGATCCTCGACCTGCAGCAGCACCGGCTGCTGCTTTTGCTTCGGCCACTATTTGCGATGGTGGTGTTAGGCCCTCGAAAAGTGGTTTGATGGGTGAAAGTGGTGCTGCAACTCCCGAAACTTCCAACGGATGCGATGGCGGTACGATGATTTTCAGCGCTCGATATTTCTCCGGCTTTAAAAAAAAAAAAAAAAAAAAACACTGTGTAAATTCATCAAAACACATACAAAAACTCAGGAATTTTCAGTCAATTTAAGATTTTAATTTAAATTTTAGTTGGTATGTGTTAATGTAAGATGTAAGGAAAAAAAAGGAAATGTGAATAAGTTAAGATTAAAATTTGAATGGGAATGTTTCGGTCCATCAAGTCAACCATACATTCCTATTCAGTGCTGCAACTGGACCTCGTCTGTGCGACGGTTGTAGCGGAAGTAGCATATATAACGTTAAGATATATAACGTCCTACGTAGAAAAGCTTATACTGCACAA